GCACCTTCTCACTGATGCCTCCGTAGGTTGTTTGAATAAACTGCACTCTTCAACCCCAAAGATCCCCTGTCGAGCCGATCCAAGCGAAACAACGCCTTTTATGCAGCAAACTTCATGAGATGATCTCACGTGCCCTTCGAGCCACCGCGTCCAACTCGTGAGAATTCCACTTTCCAATGTGTACACGTATTTTTACACGTATTTTTCGTATCACTAAATAAGCCAGCAAGGAAGTGCGAGACTACACTTTTTTGCTGGGGATATTTAGTGAACTACCTTAGCATACAACTTCGTATAATGTATGCTATACCCTTAACGCAGTGAAGAAGAAATGATCTTGAGAATGCGGAAATTATGATCTTTGGAGTTCAAATCTGCCATCCCGGAGTTCCTCTAACTCTTAGAGAAGGACGTCACATCCTGCTTGAAGTATCACGAACCATGATACAACAAAGAAGGACCCATTTCTCGATGTGAATGCCGAGCTGTTGCTAACGCTGCAAATTTTACGACCATTTGAAAACGGCATCCGTGTGGATGCAATATAATGCTTCTGCGATTCCCTCTTATATGACTAGTCAACTACCTCATCTTCAATAAAATATCTGCGAAGATTTCAATATGATGGCAAACGGAATCATTCCTTGCGTACCAATATTGTCGTCTGTCCTATTCAAATGCTAAATGCTATAAAGTATTCAAACCACCATGTTGCATGTTAATTATGCGACATGTATAAAAATTGAAGGAATCTCAGCCAGCAGTCCACTATAAAATAGCGTTTCCATTGCTTTTTCACTGCTGTTCAGCGCTTTACTCCTAAGGCCCTTTTCCTGATGTTTTGGTATGCCTCTTTGGCTAACATAAGTGTTGCAATATTGATTTAGAATTACTTCATGACAATCTAAGAACTGAATCTGTATGTTCACTGGAATGCAGCTATTGAAGGCAAACCCCGGGATTGGCCCGACTAGTAGGAGGGATACCACTAGGGAAATTGTAAGGTCTGTACCTACCTAGATCACTCCAACTTGTCGCGAAAATTGCGCGGTTAGGGCGCTAATCCTTACGGGCCTCAACCATCGAACGCTTCCCACCCACCGCGAGATGTGGTGAGATCAGCGTGCATTGATGTAGAGATCAGCGTGCTCTCTCAAACGACGTGCTCTCTCGCGTATTTTGTCTTCTTTGACCGCCCTGTCTCGCCATCGTACCACATCCGACCCTTTGAAGGTTAAGGCCTTAATTTCAGCGTTCCCAAAGATTTCTCTTGCTTTCCTTCCCACTTTCAGGTCGTTCCGCAGCTAAGCTATCACTACAGAGCGCTGATAGCACTAGTTCAGTCCCGGAGTTTGCCGTTAACATTGAAAGAGTCTTGTCTCTTTGGCGCCGTGCAGCTTCATAATCGTGCCCACTTATGCCGGTACAGCAGTTGGAAGCAGGAAAGCTTGCACGTTCTTGTATACTCAGATTCTCCATGCAAAAGATAGCGCAGCGGTTCAAAGAATTGGCGCTGCAATTCGACTGCTCATTGCCTCCACCCCATCACCATCAGTGCGCTAAAGTCGTAATAACTTCGTATAGCATACATGACGCTAAGCAACGATGCTAAAACAATAGCCGCCCACTGACCGCTCGAACGACGATAGTGTTGCTAGACCCGATTAACGCATTTACACGCGATTCGAACAAGAAGCTCTGGAAGGACAAATGCAATTCGACGTCGCCCTTGAATCTCTTCTGTAATCGCATGCTCTAAGCTTATTAATAGACGGCGTTGCCTCCGCTCTTGCAATTCACAGTTTACATGCGGCAGGATCGAGATCCCGCCACTAAAATATACCGAAACGAACACAATTTCCCCATGCATCCAATGGAACGGAAAGGTTAAGGGCTTATAGCCGACTCGGCCATGTTCGGGGCGGGAGTTGTCGGGAGCCTATATACAGTGGTCGTCTTGTTCAATATGTTCCTTCTTATGTGGTGGCGCCTTCAAAAATAAGTGGAAAACCCAAGAAAGCTGGTCAAACACTCGGCGATATGATCGCAGACTCGACAGTCAGTGAGTTCACCTTGGACAACTTTCTCCTGAGCAACCAAATGCGGGGTGTGGTTTTAGCTCTTACTGTGGTGCTTGTGCAATCACGCTCACTTGGGTTTGGATGGCGCTACAGCACTCTAAAGACCTTTTGAGTAGATGTCCCTTCACTACAACCAATGGCTACTACCCGAAGAACATACTAATTAATATGCGCCATACGGACTCCCCGAGAAGCCATTCTGCGCACGCAAAGTCAACCTCACACATGTTGGTTTTTATATTTTTGTGAGGGAGTGAAAGAAGTGTGCATAATATACGCAAAAGACACGGTGAGGCAGAAAAACTGTTAATTAAGCTGCTCTGACTTTCTCCCTTTCTCCCTATTGGTTCCGTTAGTATTGGAAACAACTGAGTGTTGATTGATGTTGATTTTGATTACTTTGGAGGTGGGTGCACTTTTCAGGAATCGATTCACAGCTGCATACATCACAACCTTACAGCCTGCGAAGTAATTGAACTAGTTGCAGGAAATCCCACTCATCACTTCATTACTAAACCAGAACTTTGTGGTCGGTTTTCGGTGTGTGTGTCGTTCTGTCCGTCCGGACCAACCGCTCACAAAACCAGGGAGTACACGAAGGGCAACACTTCGAGATGTGATGCCATGATCATGATAACACCCACAGCGGCTATATAAACACCGATCGAGCACACTCAGTCTCATTCTACATGGTGCTGCCGTGGCAGCCGGATGAGCGGGGGGAGGGTGGAGAGGGGTAGAGGGAAGGGGGCAAGAAAGGGGAGGCTGGAAGGGAGGGGAGGGGGAGAGAGAAAGAGGGGGAAGGGGGAGAGGAGAAAGGGAGAGAACATGGCGCTGCTATGCGCCGGAGAGAAGGGGTATAAGAGGGTAGCATCAATATTAAGGTTAGTTAATGCGAGGTCAACTTGCTGCATTCGTGGTTCCTCCTAGCTGGGTTGGTGTATAGCTCGAAAGCTGTGTTGGTATAAATGTAAGTGCTAACAAAACTCGGAACGCAAACTTGCTTTAATGATATTTTGCAATGTCATGTTTGTGGTAACAGCTCCTATGTTATATGTGTTTATAAACCCCGTAGCAGACATTTCGCGGTCATATGCATACTGGGTGCTGCAATCTGCAGTGAGAGAGGAGGAGATAAGGTGGGAGGAGAAGATCAATCGCCTAAAATGATCTAATGTAATGGGTGTGGGAATACGAGATATTATTCTAATTTCATGCCACTCCTTTGATAATGCCCTCTACTATATAAGTACCTTACGCATAGGCGTATGCATCCCCTCTGCGAGGTGTTTACCTCATGAATAGAAGGAAGCTAAGTGGAAGGGAGCTCAGCAGAGAAGTAATGATCAGCGCCGGGGTGGTGGTTCGTAGTTTGCAGGAGACAGTCCTTGTTGAATACACCTGGCTGTTATAGACATTGCTGTACCAGATTCTCAAAAAAGTGAGAACATTTTCAAGCAGTTTTGATACCGAAAGAAGATATTTCTTGCTTCTGACTCACTAGAATTGTTTCAGATAGAAACAGATCACGTAGAAACAATGTTGAAACAAAAAGTTCTCTTCTCCCCCATTCTTATCTTTTTATTAGTTTACCTTGCATTCTGCCAGTTCTCGAATCGCTGACCCTGATTCCTGCAAATCTTGCTCTTTCTGCTACGAAGCCGCTAAATTACTTGTAATCAAATGGTCCTGAAACCTTTTTCTGAGTCACCAGTGCACGTTGGTGCAGAGCAGAAAGAGGAGGAAAAAGAAACTTCCTTGGAAAGTGGAGTTGTTCATTAAATGAGAGAGAATATGTCGCCATCTTGGCACTGTACATTCTTTTCTGTTTTGGTTTTTTGAGGGTGGAGATGTGTAAAAACCGCTAGTTTAGACGACTGCAGTCATGCTAACCATGAACCTCCAAGACCTGTGTTCCGGTTGTGGGAGAAAAGGAAGACGATGGGGACTCGTGGGACTTTCAACATATGAGAATTCCAGAATTTGCTACGGCTACTCGTATTGCAGTCACTAGAACTGCGTTTAGCTCACATTCTCTCCATTGAACCAACACAAAGTTTCACACATCGGGTAACAGGGTGTCCTAAAATCTTTGGGACTCGATGGTGTGGTAGGATAGTACAAAAATGGATGTGTGGTGCAGTCTGGACCGTCATCAGAGAAAAAGAACCATAGAAACACCGAAAGTACAGAACTCTATCTATGGTTTGACTTAAAGCAAACAGCGAGATAGCGAGAGCAGGGAAGCGAGAGAAGAAAGGAATTGTGACGGAATCAGTCACATCGGCCAGATCCCGTAGTCTTGGGTCCAGCGCAACTCAAAAATCGTATCCCGCTGTGTTGTGCTTGATCCTTTATTAAACACTATCCGCAATATACTATGATCCAGAATCGTTCAACCTAATGATGCACGCATAGTGAGTGTTCTGGGGCTCATAAGCGGACGAGGATTCAAGCCCTAACTCTAATAAGCTTCTTTCGTCTTACCATTAGTGTCACATTTAGGTGCATATGTGTGCCAAGATGTTTATACTTGCGGACCTATCACTTCGTCGCACCAATGGAAGGGTTCGCTTTAAATTTGCATCCCAATTATGGATCTACAAATTCTACTCATCAAATACATGGCACACTGCGATATTTGCATCGCGTACTGGGGCGCAAATAACAGCCAATGAAAAATCGTAACGAAAGCCGTTCACCTAGTCCTAGCAAAAAGGCAGTGCAGAATCTTAACACGGCATGTTTCTGATCATGACCACTGCCTCCGCCTTGTTCTGCTTCATATGTGAAAGGATTTTCACTATTCAATTCGCCGATGACATCTGACTTATTGGACCATCTTGTGGGTTACCGGACGTGTTTTCTTTGAATTTATTTTTTTACATTTTTTAAGCCCGTAACTGTTTCTGTTTAGAAATGTGGACTCAGATCATTGCTCTGGCTATCATCGTCGGCAGTGCACAAGGCGCTGTCTTAGTCCAACCAACAAAAGTAATGCCTTTATAGTAGAGAAAATTTTGGGCTCTGTTCAGCTTTTACAACCTTGAGATTTTGCAAGACACTTCTTGATTGCAGTTTTCAGGCCAGCAGGCCAAATCGTTCAAAGGCCTTCGTGCCACTTCCAGACACGATATACCGCAATTTTTCATCAATTGGCAACTGCGCTTAAAAAAGATCCGCTTAAAAAAGATCTCAAATTTCTGACAACACAGAAATACTTCCCGAGACAGAGTTTCGGCTAAAAGGAAATTCTTTTTCTCTCTCGGGGTTTCCAATGGTACTGGTGCAAGGGTTGTAACAGTTGAATAGCTGAAAGTTTAACAATGCTAACGTCCCAAAAAATGAATTACTATTTCAGTTGGGTCAACGTATTGAGCTGAATCTTGGACACGATGTAAGCACGTGGCACCGTCGCACAAAAGACGGTGAACAAACCATGAAACGTTGCAGTGCTTCGGAAACCGATCCGAAATGCTCCGCATTTACCAAGAAGGTGAGGCATTATATTCAGAATCATTCGTCTCTCACTACTGACACAAGAGCTCTAACAGACTTCATGAAACCAGTGCAAGGACGCCTTAGAACGGAATCTGCGGTAGGATTCAAGTCAGGAAAAAATGGAATGTCATGGAATCAAAGCAACAGACACAGAGGCCACCCTATCATATCCCAGGCAATTCCTTCATTGAGCAGTCCCGCCGACTACCGGGTACGGCCGATAATAAGCAGTGTAAGGGGCCCCCACCGACAGAATTTCATGGCTACTCACCTGGTCTTAGTACAGCTGCTACAGTGTATCCCCGCATACCTCACCAATACAAATGTGTTCTCGACCGTTTGCGAAAAGCCAGGCTGAAACGCAACCACGTTTCTAATCGTTCGATGTCACATCCCTCTGCACCAACGTGTCCAGTAGGGAAAAGTTTAAAGGTAATGACATTGGTCTAGGAGTTTCTTGACTGCTCTACTTTGAGTGGACCAGGCAATACTGTAGGCAGATTAGCGCACTGGCCATGGAGCGGCGGTTGGCACCCATGCTGGCCATGGCCTACATATCCGCGATAGAAAATAGAAATATGGCATTCTTGGCCTCTGAGTTTCGTTGAAATTGGCTCAGAATTGCAAACTAAGAGCAATGGTAACCTTTCAGACAAGTTGGCTGTCGTTCGTCCTCTCCTACATGGGCCACTGTGTTAGGGAATCACGGAAGGGAGCAATGAGATCATATCACCAGTAGCAAATGTTGTTGCCCCGTTGTTCACTGAATTTCTCGAGCAGCCAGACCTTGCGTGCGAGTTACTGAGTGCGCGATGCGAAGACAGCGTATAATTATCACTTTATTCTGGGGAGTTCTTACGATATAGTCTTCTTCTTCTTCTCCCTAGCGTTAGTCCCGCGCAGTCGCAGGGTCCGCTGTCTTTGTCAGTCGTCGCCACTTTAGTCTGTCCAGGGCGTCCTCTGCTGTGGCCATGACTTCACTTAGATCCTTCTTGATCACGTCTCTCCACCTCTTCTTTGGGGCTCCTCGCGGTCGCTTGCCTTGCACTTCGAAGTCCATCGCTGTTCTTATCGGATGATCCTGTGGCCTCCTTAGCACATGCCCATACCATCGCAGACGCTGTTCCCGTACCTTCAGCTGGACAGGGGCAGTCTGCATGACCGCTCTGACATCCTCGTTTCTAACCCTGTCCAGCCGCGTCCAGCCGCAGGCCCCTCTCAGCATCCTCATCTCAGCGGAGTGAAGCTGCCTTTCGTGGTTCTTGTTCAGGGCCAGCACTCGCTGCCGTATAGCATCGCAGGCCTTACCACTGTCGGTACACCTTCCCTTTGAGCGTTCTGGAGCACCTTCGATCGCAGAGGATTCCAGTGGACTCCCTCCATTTCATCCATGCAGCGTTGACCGAGCCTTCACCGCCTGATCCACACTACCGTCGGCTGCCAGATCGCTCCCAAGGTAGCGGAAGTCCTCCACTCTTTCGATGGTCTCACCATGGCCGTCTACGATCGGCTCTGCACCCTCTTCGGAGCTCAGGAACTTGGTCTTCTTGACATTCAACCGGAGCCCGCCTTCTGCCAGGACATTCTGCCATCTCTGCACCTTGGCTTGAAGTGCCTCTCTGCTATCCGCTATCAGAGCTATGTCGTCAGCGTAGAGGATGGTCTTCAGTGGTCCTTCCATGAGGCCCTTCACCATGGTATCGAGCGTTAGGAGGAACAGGAAGGGGCTCAGAGCTGACCCTTGATGCACCCCAACCGTGATGTTTATCTCCTTCGTTAGGCCGTGAGGGGTGCGTATGGCTGCTTTGGCTCCTTCGTACATGTCCTTCACCAGCGAGATCAGGTGTTCTGGCACGTTTCGTTCCCTGAGCGACCTCCACAGCACTGCTCGCGGTAGCCGGTCGAACGCCTTCTCCAGGTCGAGGAAGGCTAGGTAGCAGGGTCGGCGCTTTTCTCGATACTTCTCCATCACTTGCCTTGCGATGAAGATGGCATCCGTTGTAGACCTTTCGGGCATGAACCCGAACTGTTCCTGGGAGATCGGGACCAGCTCCCGCAGCTTCTTATCGACCAGCCGCTCGTACAGCTTCATGGTATGCGCAGTCAACTTGATCCCGCGGTAGTTAGAGCAGTCCATTGCGTCGCCCTTCTGTTTGAAGATGGGGACGATGGTACTTGTCCTCCATGCATCCGGCATCTTTCCTTCCACTGTTACCTTGTTCAGGAAGCTGGTGAGCCACCTTATGCCGTACTCTCCGAGCGCCTTCCATGCCTCGATTGGCACCCCATCTGGGCCAACCGCCTTTCCAACCTTCATCCTCCCAAGTGCACACTTAAAGACAAGAGTCAGGAAAAAATATGTGGGCAGATGCGTTTGAATACGACGTTTGAGGTAGACAGTGATCTGAAAACAAAAAAGAAACTAGACGAAACGCTCGGCAACATCCCGACCTCCGTTTAAGCCCTATTTCAACTTGAAATGTAGAGGGATTGGGTTTGGACGAGTTCTTACGGACGGATGGCCAAACTTGCTCCAGTGCAAATTGTTGGCTCTAGGCCAGAATCGATAGATGTGGAAAACATACATGAACATGAAGACCCACGCGCTACGTTGTATTGACCAGCAGCACTATCATCTGAAATCAAAAAAAAGTCTAGAACGTCTCATCACTAGCAAGTAAAATGAGATATTAACATGCAACATCCACACGGGAATTGCTAACTGAGGAAAAATAATATCAACGCAACATACAGAACAAAAACACACATTCATACAGATCCCTTACTTGAGATAAACTAAGAGAAGAAGGAACAAGAAAGTGAATCTATGAAAGAAAACCCCTCCGTTACAAGAGATTGTTCGGCATAAGTCCAACGACGCTTCACACCACAAACGGGCTGCGCGACATTTAGTTGCAATCTAACACTGCCGCTTTGGCGGCCGCACTCTTCTTGCAGCACCAACGTATCTCGGCCGCGCGGGGTGGGGCTTGCGGAATAGGGTGTGGATTGCGAGTAGAGCGAGCTTCCTGCACGTTTGTCGCGCACTTTCAAGCCGCAAAGTAGGCACCACATTAACCCTCGTTCGCCTGTCTACCGATTGCAGGGATTCAACAGGTGAGCTTGACTAATCCTGAATCGTGCCTTTAACCTCATCCTCAGTCCAGAGTGCGATGGGACCAGCTGTGGCCTCTGCCCGTGAGTCGTTCTTGTGGGGGAACTCCTCGTTCAGAAGCCCCGTGAAGTACTCTTCCCACCTCCTCTTGACTTCGGCTGGCTTTCTTAGGATGACACCATCGCTGCCTTTTACACTTTTCACCACCCTGATGTCTTGAGTAGCACGATGGCGGGCCTTAGCCAGCCTGAAGACGAACTTCTCTGCGTTTCTGCTTTCCAACTTCTCGTACAAGGCGTCCATTTCCGTGTTCTTCGCCTTGGCGACAGCAGCCTTAGCGAGCCTCTTGCAACTCCTGTAGGTGGCGAGGTCTTCGGGGCTCCGGGTCTTCTGCCAGCGCTTGTATGCTTCCTTCTTCTGCTTCACGACTCGCTGGACCTCCTCGTTCCAGAACCACGCTGCCTTGTCTCCTCTGAATCCACCTCGCGTCTCGCCCAGGACCTCCTTGGCACATCGCAGGATGGTCTCAGCCGCGCTGCCCCAAGTCCGCTGTATTGGCCCGTTAGGATCTGGGAGACCGACTTCCATTATCTTTCGCCTGAGGTCATCCTTCTCCGCTTGGTGCAGCTTCCACCACCGGATTCTCCTCTCGGTTCTTACCCTTGTCTTCTTGGGGAGGTCTATCGCAATGTCTGCCAGGAGGGGCCTGTGCTGGGGAGCCAGATCTTCGCCGGGTAGAACTTTGATATCCTTCACAGTTTTGAGGGATGATCTTCTTACCAGCACATGGTCGATTTCCGTCTGTCTCCCTCCACTGCTGTAGGTTACCTTTTGAGATTCCCTTTTCGCGAAGAACGTGCTGCAGACTGCCAGATCGTGGGCTGTAGCCAGGTCCAGAACCCTCTCTCCCTCAGCGTTCCTCGTTCCTATCCCTCTACCTCCGTGCACCCTTTCTAAGCCTCTTCTGTCACTACCGACGTGACCATTCAGGTCACCTGCTATGGTCAGGTAATCATCCTCCGGAACCGATCTTATGGCTTCGTCCAGGCTCAGATAGAACTCGTCCTTATCACTTTCGGGGCACCCGGCTTGCGGTGCGTACACGGAGAGTATGGTCCAGTACCCCTCCTTCGTGTCTATCCTCACAGCCATGATCCGATCGCTGATCCTGTTCACAGCGGAGACATAGTCCTTGAGCGACTCCGCTACCGCTATGGCCACGCCGTTCCGCTTGGTGTCTTCTCCATTGTAGTAGAGCTTGACACCTTCCCCGATTTCCCTGGCCTTAGCACCTTTCCATCGCGTCTCCTGAAGGCATAGGACTTGGATATTCCTGCGCGTCATCAGATCAGCAACCTCTCGGGACTTCCCAGTGACTTCCCAGTTAGCGATCCTACGTTCAGAGTCCCAATTCGAACTAGCTTCTTTGGCCGAGGCCGTTCACTCCTCGGTAGCCCTCGCATACTGACCACAGAACTCGGGCGGGGGTTCTGCGCGCCACTTCCGGGTGACGTCCTAGCTTTATCACTGATTCTTTTTCGACTTTAGACATGTTTGTGTGACTGGGGTCTTCATCAGCCGGCCTGTCAACCTGGGCCTGACGCTGGTACTAGAACCATTTTTGCAATTTTTGCAAGGCATGGTTTAGAGCCTCGGCAGGGATCGAACTCGCGGTTTTTCAGAGGTGCAGACATGAGTCTAACCTCTTAACCACTCGGCTATCCCTGCCTCTAGGGGGGGTGTTTCTACATAGTCTATAGCTTTGAAAAGAGTAGAAAGGCAAAGCGAATTTACAGCAACAACCCTAGATGAGGTTCATCCAAGGAATCCATTCGGTGAGTGGGATAGAGCAACCCCCTAGTATCACAGATGTGCCAAGTCGTGCAGAAAATGCGGTACAATGGCGCTGAGCTTCACAATGTGGTATAATAGAAACCAGCGCGAACTTAAGGGCAACATTCAGACCTAGATATATCGATAGAGCCTGGGACATTACTTGGAGTACGGGAATCAAAACTGCAAAACGAATCTGCCAAGAAACTACGATTAGTCAAAGTAGGGCGGTGATGACCGCTTGTGGATGAGGCTCACTAGTGTGAGCCAAGCTGGGCTGCCGTGGAGTAGTGATGAGACGATAGCACATTATCATGCAGGTTTTGGGTTCGATTCTCACTGTTTTTTGTCGTGTTTCATACCCAGTAGAGACCTGATTTCTAGTTTGTGGCATATTGGAGTGAACACCTTGTAAAAACGTGGATATCGAATGTTTGACGCAACAGATAAGGTTGTCGCTATGTTACTCTGATGAATTTCTTCAGTAATAACCCGCTTTTCCAGCGGTAATAAAATAATGGTAAGAAAGAAGTAATCAATAATTTCGCTTGAAAGGCAAACCCAGTGATTAGCCCGACTAGTAGGAAGGATACCGCGAGGGAAATTGTAAGGTCCGTACCTACCTAGATCACTCCAGCTTCGTCGCAAAATTGCGCGGTTAGGGCGCTAATCCTTACGGGCCTGCAACCATCGACCCCATTCCAACGCTTCCCACCCACCGCGAGAGGTGGTGAGATCAGCGTGCATTGATGTAGAGATCAGCGTGCTCTCTCAAACGACGTGCTCTCTCG